GGCAGGAAGTGGGCTTGCATCCAGCTCAGGCCTGCCAAGTGTTTCTTTTCCATTGCCATTGCACTTGGGTGGTGCTGCCAGGCCACCAGACCCAGTGCAAGGAAGAACCAGATGCTTCTGGTGATGACTGGGAGGAGGTGAAGAGAAGGGGAAAAAAGAAGAAAAAGGTGCCCTGAGAACGGGCCCAGCTCCATGAGACCTCCCTTCACCTGTGGGACCTGCAAAAGGGCCCTGTGAGCAAGGCCGATGGATGGAAAAAATGCTGCCCTTGTTGAAGGTGGTTGTTGTTTGCTTTGTTCTGTTGAAGGTTGTGTGCATTGCTGAAGGTGGTTGTCTTTGCTCTGCAGCCTTTTTGGTTCAGCTTTTGGGCCCTGCCAAAGGGCTCCTGGGACATTCTGGGTCAGCTAATGGGCCCTGCCAAAGGGCTCTTGGGCAGTTTTTGGTCCACCTTGTGGGCCTTGCCAAAGGGCTCCTTGAGAAACAGTTGGCCCTGCACATGGGTTCATGGGCCTTGGAAAAGGGCTCTTGGAGAGGAAGAGGGCTGGAGACAAAAAAAGTGTGTGTGTGTCCACTGTCTTGCATTTCTGGGCCATTGTGGCCTAAACTGTGGTGAAGTCATATGGAGTCACATGATGTCATATGACATAGAAAAATGTCATATGACACAAAAACATGTCATATGACACCACCCCACCATCATATGACATCATATGATGTCACATGACTTATGCTTTTTGGAGTGGTCTCAAATTTTTTTGTGAGGTTGATGCCAGCAAGACTCAGATTGCAACCCTGCCACTTTGGCTCACAAGCCAAACTGCAGAAAGGCTTTTGCTGATTCTTTTTGAGTCTGGGACCTGACAAGGTTTCTGATTGGACCTGTGAAAGGGCCTGAGAAGGTTTCTGATTGGACCTGTGAAAGGGCCATGGTGAAAATCACAATCTTGAAAAAGCCGGCAGCTGCACCTTACAAGAGGCCTGCAGCCAACCCAGAGCCTGAGGAGCCCATGTCTTTGGAGGAAAAGATGGAGTTGTTCCAGAGGTCAAAGACTCAGGACCTCAACTCTTTCCTGGGCACACTTACCAGGAACCAGAGAGAAGCGCTCTGGAAGAAATTTGAAAGGGCCAGGGGCTCCACCAAGGACCCCAAAGTGGAGGAAGTTTGGAATACTGTCTGCAAAGGCAAAAACAGTGACCAACACAAGAAGCAGCTTTTGAAGGTGTTCCTTCAAACCAAAGGGGAGCTTAAGAATTCTCAAGCCTGGCAGAAGGAGGTCCTCTCCTTGCAGCAGACCTCGGGCAGCTGTTTTTCTTGCTTGAGGCTTTGAGACAACAGTTCATGGATTCCACCTGCATGTAGGCCACAGGTCATCCTTGGAATGGGTGCCCTTTGCCACCATATTGCACAGATATGGCTTGCAAGAGACACTTCGCAGAGCCACCTCCTCAGAATTTATATCTGCGCTTGCGATGAATGTTGGCAAGGAAATTTCACTTCAGGTCACATTTGATTTCAGGTCAAGAAGGGCACCATTCTTGTCCAAAAAGATCCTCTGGATGATGATGAATGGCAATTTGCCCTGGCCAAGAATGTGGACTACAGTGCTACAGAGCAGAGGCATGAGGTGGCTGCAGAGCAGGTGGGCAAGATGGAGGTGTGCAATTGGATGAAAGTCAAGGCCAAAGGCTTTCTTGGCAATGAGGAAGGGTCAGCTGACCAGGCCTTGAGAGATGTCATGCCCCAGAAGGCCAGCAAGCACATGAAAGCATTGCTGCCACCTCCACCATCTGACTCTGAGAGCTCAGAGCATGCAGCATCCTCTAGCAAGCGGCAGAAGAAAGATGCTGAAGCATCCAAAGGGAAAGACAAGCAAGTGATTGAGGCTGAGGTTTTGAGTGATATGGGCAGCAGTGCTGTGGCAGGTGAGCTCAAGAAAAGGGTGGAGAAGATGCTGAAGCTGCTTCAAGCAGTGAAGAAGGAGGTGGGCACAAGCAAAGTGAAGGATCACTTGCATGGCCCTGAGACTGACCTCAAGAAGCTCCTGAAAACAAAGATGAACGCAGAATCTGCCAAGGGCAAGCTGTTTGATGCTGCTATGGCAATCAAAACAGCCAAGAAGTTGTGAATAGATGCCAAGGTGCCTTGAGAAAGGGCCCAGTAAAGGCAATGATTTGACAAGGTTGCAAGGTGTCCTGAGAAAGGGCCCAGTTCCCTCAACAATGCAACAGGTAGGTGGCAGTGAGAAAAAGGTCGCCTTTGCAAGAGGTTGTGCAGCTTGTTTGGTAGGGCTCTAAGTGTGTTCTTTGTGGAGGCTCAAGCACCCAGGTGGGAAGGGTTTCATTGTGCCCTGGACAAAGGGCTCAAGGACCTGTGGAAGGGCCTGCCATGGCAAAATGGAAAAGAAAGAAAGCAACTGAAGTTGTGGATGTGCCCAAGGAAGAGCGCAGCCCCTTAGGGCTTTGCCTTCTGGAGCAATTTGCAAGTGGCATGTCTGCAGCTGGGAAGCAAGTCATGTTGCTTTTCGGCTGGGCCATGCATTTTTTGTCATGGCAGTGCAGCTAAGGGACCTGATCTGCAAAGAATAGCATTTGCAGCTGTGAAGACAGGAGTAACTGCGCCAGACATTCAGCTCATGGCCAGCTTTGGGAACTTTGGGAGGAATCCCAATCATGTGGCAGGCCAAGTCACCAAGCAGTACTGTCAATCAGATGACATCGACATCCCTGAGCCCTATGTGATTGATTTGCCAGTGAGGGTGAGGACCCCAGATGACTGGGCTCTGGGCACCAGGCAAGTAGGCATTTTCTTGCCACATGAGTGGTGGGCCTGGATGAGTGACAAAGAGGCTGTCTCTGGCTTGAATGGGCTTGCAGACTTTTGGGAGGGACAAGATCTTTCAGATCCCAAACTTGAAGGGAATCCACTGATGGCAGAGGATTACAAAACATTTTGCCCCATTGTGATCCATGGGGATGGGGGTGCATTCCAAAGATCAGACTCTATTGAAGTGATCTCTATGCGATCTTTATTGAGTTCTTCCAATGTCTCCACAAGTCAGCTGCTGCTTGCAGCAGTCCCCAAAAGCTGCATCAGCAAAAGTGACAAGGACTCAGAAGACACTATGAGATGTTTGTGGGAGGTCTTGGCATGGTCCTTCACCCACATATACTATGGAAAATGGCCTGAATTTGATCATGCTGGCAGGGCTTGGCCACAGAAATCAATGAGGAAGGCCAGAGCAGGATCACCACTCAACCCTGATGGCTATTCTGGTGTTATTTGGTCCATCACAGCTGACGGTGAATACATGCAGAACTCATTCTTTCTGCCAGGTCACAGTTTCAATGATTGCTGCTGGTCTTGCCAAGCAAACAAGAGTGACAGACCACACAATGACTATCGTGCAAATGCAAAATGGCGAGCTACTGTAGTAAGCCATTGTGGCACCAGCCCCACTTCACATCTTGTGACCACCATCCCAGGTGTGGTGGGGAACACATTTGCATATGATTGTCTACACATTCTTGAGGAGGGTGTGGCATCACACATCCTTGCAAATTGCATGTTTGACTTTGTGGTCAAGGGGCCATCCTCGCAGGATCAGAACTTGAAGAATCTTTGGAAGAAGCTTTGCCAGCAATATCTTGAACAGGGGATTTCCTCCAGCAACCAGGTGAGGAAATTGACTATGTCCAGCTTTTGCAACCCCAAATCCAAGCAGGACAGTTTTCCTGTGATGTCAGGTGTCAAGGCAAGGCACCTGAGGTACTTAGTGCCCTGCATCTTAGAGATTGTGAGGGAGATGGAGAAGCCTGATGATCCATATAGCAGGCACAGGGTCTGTGTGGTTGACAATTTGGAAAGGATGTATTTGGCAATGGAGAGCTGTCACATCCACATGACAAGCAAGGCCTCACAACAATTGTTGAAATGCACAAGCAGCTGCCTCTTGCACTATGTGAAACTTGCAAATTTGTCCATAGCTTCAGGCTCTTTGCAGTGGTCGACAGTGCACAAACACCATTTAGCCTGTCATCTGGCAGAGCAAGGCAGGTGGATGAATCCAAGGTTTCAAACCACATATTCTGGTGAGGCTATGGTGGGGATGATGAGTTCCTTGGCACATTGCTGCCTGAATGGGACAGCACCTCACCAAGTCCCTCTCAAAGTTGCTCTTCGATTCAGGTTGTCAATGCATTTGAAGTTCATGGGCAGTATGGAACTGCTTGATTCTGCTGAGGAATCATGAAGTGGTTGAGCTGGGCTTGGACCTGCAAAAGGGCCAAAAGTTTAGCCTGAAAACAGGCCACAAACCTTGGCCCTGCAAAAGGGCTTCAAAACCTTGCCAAAGAGCAGGCAAACACAGGAGAAAAGATGAGACATTTGCAGCTTGCTGGGATGAGACATTTTTCAACTGACCAAACTTTTCAACCAACAAAAGCCCTTATTGGTTCATATTTTAAAACAATAAAAGCCCTTATTGGTTTAAATCATAAACCAATAAGATCTTATTGTGTTGTTTCAATAAACCAGTAAGAAGTCTGTTTCAATAACAGTGATCAAATTATTGAAATGGCATTGCTTTATTGAAATGATGGTTCCTTATTGAATCTTTTCAATAAGGCGTACTCTGGGTTTCCGCTTCAGCTCACCATACGCCACCACAACCACTACCGCAACCACAAGTGCCACAACTCACACCTCAGCCAACTGCACCACCAACTGCACCTCAGCGGGGAGTCACAGACTACACCTTTCAGGCTTACAGTCACGCCACCACACTTTACGAAGATACACGTTCCCACAGCACCCAGCACCAGCCACAGCACAGCAGTTGATGCAGCTCTATGTGACAAAAAAAGGTCATTCCAAAGAACATTGCGCCGCGGCGCTGCGGCCACGAGGAAAAGGACCATGCGCCGGCAGACTCGCAGTCCTTCACTTTACATTTTACAATTTACAAGACCTTTCCGACGTCCTGCCCTACCACTATTTATTTATTTATTT